TATTAGCAAAAGATTGAATTAATGGTAATTCATAAATTACACTATTAATTATATTAGTTAGATATGATATTGGATTATAAGTAACAAGGATGGATTAAAATAGTAATAAAACGATGATTAAAAGTTATTAAATTACTTATTAATAAATGAATAGGATTTCGAACAATTAAAGTGATTAAAAATACATTACTTTGAAATTATTATTAGTTATAGAATTGGGTAATTCGACATTGTTTTGATTGACGATTTTGACTAATACTAGTGATTACAATTCAATTTTACTTAATCTAAAAGATGAACTAAAATAATGATCGAAATTAGTAAAAAGACTTGATTGATCACAAACGACCCATAATGGTCTATTATTAATGAAAATAATTAGATTTTTCTGATTTGACAATTAATGATAATTCATAAGTTGAATTAATAAAATAAAACGGAATTAAAAGGATTAATCAGTTATAAGGTGCATTAAGATATTAAGTGATAGATTAAAAGAGATGATTAATTAATGGATAAGTTACATACAAATTAATAATTAAATAAAATTTGAATAAAAGTATAAAGGGGGAATTAGTTAAATTATTAAAAATAGAAATAGTAACTAACTATATCATCTTAATTAAAAAGGTGATATTCTAGAGACGAAATAGAGGAAGAGAAATAGAAGCATTGGATTGGAAGTAAGTTTCTCTGCCAATCCAAAATCGTTTCCTCGTATTATATGCTTATTATGCATTATGTGATTAAGTGTGAATTTTGAATTATGTGTATGTGATTTTGAAGAGATATTAGATCTATGGTATTTGAGAAGTGCAAACTAGGTACTTTTGGGTATTAAAAAAATTTTAAATACTTTTGAGACATTTTAGAGGGATTGAGAAATATTTTTGGAAGTATATCTAAAGTCAAGATAAAATTTACGTTTTCATAAGAGGTGAGCACCCGGGAGAAATCCGTGGTGTCGGTTTTCCACATCCGGATAAATGTGGAGGGTGATTCGGGCTACTACTACTAAGAAGTACAATTTGAGTTTGAAGTTACATTTTGATCTATGATCCCTTTTAAGAAGAAGTTGTTGTAGTAGTAGTCCCTAATCATTCAAGAATTTTAAAGGTGGGGTAGTTGGTAGACTGAGTCCCGGCTACTCGTTACGACTTACTACTCGGAGGGCTTGGAATCCCTTTTAGGGGGTGTGCACACTTAAGGTAATCGTTTCGTTTCCATTAGCAGTTGTGGTACCGGCAAAAGTCCCGGGGTGGCCGTACATAATAACGTAACCACCGGGCTCAACCAGAGTGTTGAACACCGCTCTTCTAAATTACTAGGAAGATAGAGAAGAAGTGAATCTTGAGAAATTCTAAGATAAGAGTTACTATAGTATTTTCGAAGAAAAGTTGAGGACTTTAGTAAAGAAGTGATTTTGAGAAAAAAAAATCAAAGAGAAAAGAATTTTGGTGGAGTGTTATTCAAATAGTATTATATGAGAAACTATTTTTCACCAAACCTGATTATTTTACGGGGTTGAGTAGTACTTACTTAGCTCTAAAGCTAATTTTTGTTTCCTTTTCTTTGTTTTGTTTTCTGCACTTTATTTGTGCAGGTAATGATGACTATGTTGATTGATGAGGGCCGTGGTATTCAGAAACGAATGCCCCTCGGGAATACCGACATGCTTCCCAACATCTGCAGTCTTCTTCTTCTTCTTCTTCTTCTTCTTCTTCTTCTTCTTCTTCTTCTCCTCCTCCTCCTCCTCCTCCTTCTCCTCCTCCTCCTCCTCCTCCTCCTCCTCCTTCTCCTCCTCCTCCTTCTCCTCCTTCTTCTCCTCCTCCTTCTCCTCCTACTTCTCCTCCTCCTTCTCCTCCTCCTCCTCCTCCCCCTTCTCCTCCTTCTTCTTCTCCTTCTTCTTCTCCTTCTTCTTCTCCTTCTTCTCCTCCTCCTCCTTCTTCTTCTCCTCCTCCTCCTCCTTCTTCTCATCCTCCTCCTCCTCCTCCTCCTCCTCCTTCTTCTTCTTCTTCTTGGGTTGGATCGAGGTCTCCCTGAATATGTCTGGGAATCACTAGCAGACGACATCCTTCGGTAATATATATCGGGGGGTGTAGACAACAGAAACCCTAAGGCCACTAACACTAAATCTAAGGGAGGCGAAGCAAAGTATGCGAGAAGTATCAAGAACGGAGGAAGAACTGACCTCAGAAGTAAGAGTTTGATCGATCTAAAGCCCTCTCTCTCTAGAAAAATTGGCAGAGCTTCGCTTCAACTCAAAATCGCACAAGGCGAATGGGATCAGGTCAGGAGTATTTATAACCTCCCCAACCGCGGTTAGGGCATGAGTTTGGGCCTCGGGGTTAAAAGTCTATCATCACGAACCGTCGCTCAACGAACCAGTGACAGCCGCCCTACGAAAGCCAACTAGCACATGACACATGGATGCCTTCTCCAACGGTCATGTCCCTACGGTCATATTCCAGCGACAACTTCCAACAATCGCGCCCCCAGAACACGAACGGCCCTCAGTCCCTCATTGTCGTCGGCCTCAAAACACGAACAACCCTCGGCCTCTAAGTGCCGTCGTCCTCAGAACACGAACGGTCCTCGGTCTCTCAGTGTCGTCGTCCTCATAACACGAACAACCCTCAGCCTCTCATTGCCATCGCCCTCAGATCACGAACGACCCTCTAGCCTCAGCGTGATCCTCTATCTCAAGCCGAAGGGTTTACCCCTCTTGCTTCATTTTGGGGGCATCCGATGTACTCTTTTTCTCTCATTAGGATTTTTTCCCACAGAGTTTTTTCCTAATGAGGTTTTTAACGAGGCATCTCCCATTGTGGACCAAAAGGCGTCGGCCCTCGGCCTCCTGCTGAAGACTTGCCTGAAGACATGCATTACTCTACTCCTTTTCACCCCATTACATGTGGCTCAAGGAGTGGAGGACTGGGGAACCCCCTCGGGAAAATCACAAAATTCCTAAAAATTACTCAACGTCAGCAAAAGCAAGGCAACATTTATCACAACTACAAGGGCAAACACACTTTCACCCAACAACCCCTCCGCTTTAATGTGAGGGGGACTGCCCTCGGCAAAACACATGAGCACAAAGTTTCAACTATCCCATAGCTACAGTGGAACAACTGCCATAGAAATTGCAACACTTACTCCTATTTCCCTCAAGAAGCTCTCGACATAAGGAGTGGGGGACTCCTGATGGAGTATATGGCCCAAGAACCCCCGACCCACATACTTCCACTACTACAATCAAGCCCAACAGGCCCAAGTGGCCCAAACAAAGCAAACTGGACTCCAAACAACCCATACTACAACAAGGTGTAGGGGACGTACGGCCTGAAGAGCCCTGGGTACGTACGGCCTCTAACACATGGAGAGCCTTGGGTACGTAAAGCCTCTAACACATGAAGAGCCCTGGGTACGTAAAGCCTCTAACACATGAAGAGCCTCGGGTACGTACAGCCTCTAACACATGAAGAGCCCTGGGTACGTACGACCTCTAATACATGAAGAGCTCCAGCTATGTACGACCCTTTGGGGACGTACGCCGTTCACCACATGACGACCCTTTGGGGACGTACGTCCTTCACCACATGACAGCCCTAGAGGACGTACGTCCTCTAGCGCTTGAAGTCCTCCCCAGCTACGTACGGCCTCAGGGGACGTAAGTCCTTCAGCACATGAAATCCTCCTCCAACTATGTGCGGCCCAGGGGACGTACGTCCTCCAGCACATGCCAGTCCCCAGGGGACGTACGTCCTCCAGCACATGTCAACCCCCAGGGGACGTACGTCCTCCAGCACATGCAAGCCCCAGGGGATGTACGTCCTCCAGCACATGGAAGCCCCCAGGAGACATACGTCCTCCAGCACATGGGAGCCCTCAGGGAACGTACGTCCTCAGCACGCCACCAAGTCCCAAATGGCCCCTGGGTACGTACGGCCTTCGGCACAGGCAGCATTCGGCTCATACATGACAAACATGGCCTTTGGCACATGCAGCCCCCGGGTTCATGTAGCCGAGGACACTCTCCTCGACATGATCTCTTTTCCACATGCGCTGAATCACCGCATTAAATACAACGTCACACCCAACCCACCACATTGAATGCGACCACGTGCTATGTCGGCTCCACCCTGGCTGAGTTGACCCTCCATCGCTGGTTACTTGACACGTGTACTTGCATTATTTACACCGCATTTATGGCAGCTATAATAGCTAGCCTCTTCTTCATTGTAAGGGATCCGATCCCAGACCGAACTTTTGAGCTCATTCAATACATACATACTCTCTCTCACTTATTTGCTCTGACCTCTGTAGATATTTCTCATAATATCCCTCGGATAAGCTACCCCCGGTACACTATTCATCAATTCAAATCTCAACCACAACTTTTTAAACACTTTAATAATGATTGTGCCAAACCAAAAGGGGACACTTAAAATTGAACAAAAGTCCTACATAGTATATTTTTTCATGTATATATTCATGAAAAGACCTTTTGTACACACTTTTACACACATCTTTGAATATATTTTTTTGTATGCCATTTTTACACACGTTTGTAAAAACTTTTTTGTGTTAGTCACTTTTACACACCTTTATAACATGTTTTGTTTTGAGAGACATTCTTAAAAGTAAAGTAGCCTAGAATAAGAACGGTTGTATATACAAATGTTCCGGCCAGGCCGGACAAGATGCTCGTCCGGCCACCTAGATTTGAGGTGGTTTCCAGTGGTATTTTTGGCTGAATTTTTTTGTGTGTGTTCTTCATCAAGTATAGTTCATCCATACCAAATTTGAGCAAACAATTCAATTGGGAAGGTTGTAAAACGATTTTTGAAAGATAACTGCATTTTATATGTATATTCCGGACCAGTTTTCTTTCAAAAATCATTTGCCGACCTTGCCGATTAAATTTCTTGCTCAAATTTGATTTAGATGAACTAGATTTGTTGAGGACATATACAAAAAATTTCAACCCAAAATAACACGGGAAATTACCTCAAATCCAGGCCAGGCCAGGCCAGGCCAGGCCGAACCGTAATACCACTCGGGCTGTATATTCTTCTTTTGCGTCTCAATGTAAGCTTCCTTAGATCTTGACAAAGACCAGATCAACATTCGTAGTCCCTACTCCTCCGGTCCTCCCCACCTGGCATGGGTGTAATTACGGCCAAGTCTTCGGGCAAATGAGCAAGGGTTGGTGCCATAAATACCAAAATTCCTCACTTGCCGTCGCATCCGCCGGAGAGAGGTATATGACTTTCTCGCTCTATCATCTCTGATAATGATTTCGAATAATCCGGCCAGGCCATTATTGCTGTTGTGGAGTCTTTACTTAGTTTTGATCTACTAAGCTAAGCGTTCATGCTTTTGCACTTGCCGTTTCATTTCATCCGCTGCTGAATGCAATGTTACAGTGTCTATGATTACATTTACGTCTCTCTCCGCTAAATCATGCTCTATCTCTCGCATGCACATGATTTCGAGTTCAACTGAGTTCGGATTTTAGAATCTTTTTTAGTATTCAATTCCAGGTTTTTATTTTTTACATCTCCTTGAACTTTTGCCCTTCTATTTTCCTTTCTTTCCATCTCTCCTCTTTGATGGTAGGGTTTGGCATTACACCATGTCGTTCGCTTTGAAATCACATAAAGCTTTGATCTGTTTCAGTCACACATGGACCTTCTCTTTGATTTGACAAACCTATTGTCTAATTGCGGGCATCTGGCATTTTAAATTACTGACTTTTTTAAAATGAGATGTTATGAATGCATTGTATCAATATTGACTCCAGTTGAAGGAAACTGTGGACATTTGCTAGCTATCAGATCTGTCATCGAGCTTGGTAGTAGTTGGCTTGGTTCAAAGTCAAGGCCGTTCTTTTTGGATGACAGAACATGTTAGCTAAACGAAAAAAAATGATCTGTTTTTTCACCTTTTTCTATTCTGTTTGGCTTTACCTTTAAAAATGAAAAAGTATAATTCTATACAACTAAATATCTTAGTCTTTACTTAGTATATAATAGAAAGAACTATATACGATGAGTTTGACCAACTATATAGATTAAATTTTATTCAGTGTTAGTGTTGTTCTCTTTATTTTCCCTCAAATTTCCCTTACCTAAACTATTTTCTGGGCTTCATGAAGAATATGAATAGCTATTGGCAATTTGGTGATGAACTGAGAGGGCAGTCAACAAAAGCCTCAGAGGATCACAAATGGCTAATGGTTGCCTCCAAGCTGGCCGAGCAGACACGGTCAAAGGGTGAGCGCAGAAATAATCTTGATCTCTCAAAGGGCTCGGTTGAAGTTACGCCCAGAGACCATTTTGGGTTTCAAGAAGATAACAAATTTGAGACGATGAACTTCAATATGCTGAATTTAGAGTCAAAAGTGACAGAGAATTTCACCAAGAGTTCTGTTAGGAACGATATTTACAATTTAAACACCATGTACCATAAGACTAATGTCAACATTCCGGGGAATATGTCTGGAAGCAAGTTCAACCACATGAACATGAACAAGGATCTTAACAACACCAATGAGATTGTCAATGCTAATGTTGGTGCTGATAAGAGGTTTAAGACATTGCCTGCTGCAGAGACACTTCCAAGGAATGAGGTTCTTGGTGGATACATCTTTGTTTGCAACAATGACACTATGCAAGAGGATTTGAAGCGACAACTGTTTGGTAATTCATTTTCTTGCCTTTTGCTCTTTTTTATATTAAATCGCTGTGGGAATATTATGATAATCAATGTTACTGGAAGTTACAGTAGCTGAAAATCTCATCACTACCATAAAAAAGATGGAAAAACAATTTTCACTTAAGGCTCTGCTTGTTTACAGGATTTTTCTGATTTTCCTGGAAAGATCTCCCTGCGTTTGGCACGGGGGGATTCCGTCATGGAAAAGCTTTTCCAGGGTTGTTAGGAAATTGTAAAAAAATTGACTTGTTAGGATGTTTTTACTTGGACTGTAATTCGTCCCAGACCAGATCAGATCAGACCAGACTTGGATAGTTATAAAAATACAAAGAAACCAGACCAGTTCAGACCAGACCAGACCAGCAAATTACAGTCCAAGTAAAAACATCCTTGTACTGAAATAGTTTTGTATGAAGTGTTATTACATATGCAATGTGAGTCATATCCAATTGGGGGATTGCATTGTCTAAGTTTCTGATCATTTTTCAGGATTACCACCAAGATACAGAGATTCTGTTAGGGCAATTACACCTGGATTGCCTTTGTTTCTGTATAATTATACCACTCACCAATTGCATGGCATCTTTGAGGTTTGTTGATTTTCTGTTCTTTTTTTTTTCCTTTCTTTTTTAATTGCAATGCTTCTAATTTCACTTTTGTGAACACACAATTGTGACTGTTAATATGCTTAATTCCCTATTACAAAATTTTTTAAGAAATTAATATATTGAAAATTTTAAAACAAAATGTAAAATCCAACATGTTGCAATTATTTAAGAACAAATATAGTATTTGGTAGAGCTTTGTTTGAAAGCAAAAGCGCCGAGGGAAGCGTTGCTTTCTCTCAAAAAGTGCCACATTTATACTAAATTTAAAAAGTGAAAGTGCGCTTAAGCGAAAGCAATTTATTTTTAGGGACAATTCCCGAAAAAAGAGTAAAAACTTTCCGGAATTCCAAAATAGGAATGTCATGTTTTTATTCCCTAAATAGTACTCCCTCCGTTTCTATTATAACTTCCAACTTTCATTTTTCGTCCGTTCCAATTAAAACTTCCAATTTCCCTTTTTGTTAAAGAATTTGTGGTTCACAACATTTCTTACACATTTCTCTCTCTTCTGCACAACTCTCCACCACACAATACCCACTATCTTAAATTGTGTGCCAAACCTATTTGGAAGATAAAATAGGAACGGAGGGAGTAGTAATAATTGCCAAGTTTGAAAAATACTGCCATGTTAAAGTCTTGTTCTGCCTAAACATGTCATTAATTACTCCTATTTCGGGAATAAAAACATGACAATCCTATTTTAGTCCTATTTTGGCATTACGGAACGTTTTAAATACTATTTAGAGCAATTTCCCTTATTTTTATCGAAGTGTCTTTTTTTGCAAGAAGCCTACACTTCACTCGGTGGTTTTACTTTTAAAAAAGATCACCGACTCATGATCATCATAGCTATCTACAATGGCGTACTTTTTAGAAATATCTCACAAGGGCTTTCCAATGGTTACTTACAATAGGCAGCTAGTTTTGGAGGGTCCAACATTGATCCAACTGCTTGGGAAGATAAAAAATGCAAGGGAGAATCAAGGTTTCCTGCTCAGGTAGAGTTATGTTTCAGCATAATCAATTTCAGCAGGTCTATTCTGATATGCTTTAATAATGATCTCAATTTTCTTTGTTCACTTCATTTAGGTGAGGATTCATATTAGGAAGCTCTGTAATCCACTGGAGGAAGATGCTTTTAGACCTGTCTTGCACCATTATGATGGCCCTAAGTTTCGCCTTGAGCTGTCGGTACCCGAGGTAAGGCAAATATCTATTAAAATTATAGACACACACACATCTTTCAGTTCCCCACTTCCCCTGCAGGAAACTTATAGTTTTAGGTATGTTTTGCATGCCATTTCAGGCCATTATGTGTTGAATCTTTTTAATTCAGCACTTTAGTGTAGCAATAGACTCGTCTGGATGTAGGCTTGAACTGGGGAAATGGATTGCTGAAGTGAAAAGCGACATATTCTTACCTCTCAGTCCAGCCCATTCATTGCATTGAAATTATCATCGAGTAATTTATTACTCCCCCGCCCAAAAATGAGAGAGTCCCATTTCTTATGGGCACAAAGATTAAGGAGTATGCGAATCCCAAATTTGCCCTTATTTCTTTTCTGTTTCCTTTCGGCTTTCTGATCCAACTAATGCAAATGAAATAGCCCTCTTCTTCCCTGGTCCATGGAATCCTCCACCCCCGCTGCTTCTCCACTTTTATCTCCCCCTCTACTGCAATCTCAGGGTTTGTGCGTAGTTGTGGAGTTTCTTCCGTAGTCGCGACCATCTTGTTGTCATTCTTCATTCCTTCTGCATGGTGTCTCTTCAGGCAACACTTCCGATCGCTCGCGCACAGGTTTAAAATTGGAGTTCGGTTCCTTCGAGGGAGATGCAGATAAGAGAGAAGGCCAGATGGAGATTGTGGCTTTGGTTGAGGATGAGGCTTTGTGAGGAAGGTGGTGATAAGAGATGGGGAGAACTGACAGTGTGATAGGGAATGAGGGAGGGGTGAAGAATTATGTGGTTAGGAAAATAATTTCAAGGGTAAAATTGGAATTCTTTTCAAAAAAGGAAACATGGCTCTCAATTAGGGACAGCCCAAAATGAAAATAGTGGTGGAACTATAAAAATTGGGATGAAGGGGAGTAAAAAATACTGTAGTACTGCACATCTAGCTTGTGCCCTTTAACATAAATTTAAAATTCTGTAGTAATCATTTCAGCTTTTTTACAAACTGATGTACTCGACTCGGTTAGAAATTCATATTCTTCAAGCCCAAACAACAACCTATAATTTTAGACAACTAGTCTTATGTGTCAAACACAGCCTTAACCTGTTTATACTTGTGTGTTTGCAGACACTAGACGTACTGGATCTGTGTGAACAAGCCGGAGTCAACAATGGGTTGGCTGAATAAACAAACTTCCCACAGTACAAAACAAACAAGCCTCAGTATGTTGTTGGTTTATTTCGGGGATTCTACAAGTCTCGGCTTTCAATTCCCTAACTAGCGTAAGCTTGGAAAAAAGTCGGTAGTATTACCCAACCCATGATGTACTACTAGCTAGTACCTGTTGATTAGACAGACTCTGTAATGTGCTGCCTGCTTGCTTGTGCAGCATGCAATGGGTTTTTAGCAACCACACAATTCCGTTGGATCTTCCAAAAGTGCAAGTCATTTTAGTTCATGGTGAATGTTATATTTAGATATTGGCAGTTCCAAACCGAACCAACCAAAACCAAACCGAATGAAACCAAACCCGATTAAAACCGACCAAACCCTTAGCAGTTCGGTTAACGGTTTGTACTTTTGGTTAAAAAACTGACCAAACCGACAAAACCCGGCAAAAACATGCTTAGACAATAGAAATTAGTTCAAATAGTACTAAAACTATGGCAAAAAACTGAAATAGGACTTGCTATGTTTTTATTCCAAAATAGGACCATATGAGTCCTATTGGAAACATACCTATTTTTGCATTCCATTCTTACCCTTCCATTAAATATGAATTAAAAATAGTCAAAAGCCATAATTAAATGTTTAATTCATAATAAATTCGAAAAAAAATCAAAAATTCGTAGAAATATAATTAAAAAATTTATAAAATTTTTATAAAATAAAAAATTCAATTTTTTTTAAATAATTTTATTTTTAAAAAAATTAATAAAAAACAGTAAAACTCCGTAAAAAAAATTTAAAAAAATATGGATGCCTTTCCCACAGCCTGTACTACCTCCCAGCACCACCACCTCCGGCCGATGAAAAAAATGCCATTTTTCCAGAAAAATGTCATTTTTTTCTGAAAATGCCAAAAAAGTGGCATATTTCTCTTTTCGAATGCCAACATTTTCATTTTTTCTGCCATAAATATGGCATTCGTAATGAACTTGGCATTTCCCCCCGGTTGACTGGAGGTGGTGGTGTTGAGGTGGCAGAGGCCGCGACGATTTTGTTTTTTGAGTTTTTATTTTTTTTATTTTTTTTTAATTTTTTTAATTTTTTGAAAAAAAATATTAATTAAATTTTTAATATCAAAATGTTTTTCTTAATTTTTTAGTATTTTTTACGAATTTTTATTATTTTTTATTATTTTATTAGGAATTAAAACATTTTAATAGCTATAAGGGTATAATTGTCCAAGGTACACATAATTAGTCCTATACAAACATAGTTCATTTTTTGGTCCTATTTGTGAAAAGTGAATGACTTTTAGTCCTATTTTGATAATTAACTCCTTAAACAATGGTGTGCTTATATACATGATACGTGCATGGAGAATTCCGGTGGGAGAGAGATAGAGAGGGGATTTTAGGTGGGGTATATGTATGAGTAAGATAGAGAAAAAGATAGAGAGAGATATGAAGAATAAAAGAAATGGATGATAAATGGAGAAGGAAAAATGGAGAGGAGTTGAACCCGTGCAAGGATTAATTTAGAGAGAAGTCAGAGCAAACAAGTAAGAGAGAGAGTGTATATTCGATATGTATTAAGCGTGGTTCCAAATGGGGAAATGGAGTGCTATTTATAGTAGCAATAAATGCCGGGCAGGGACACGTGTCAAGCGCTCATTGGCCGAGGGGTCACCTCAACTGGTTGGCGCTGGCAGCCGCATGTGGCCGCATTTAATGCGGCTGTTGGATGGGACGTCTGTGCGGGGTACGGTGATCTGTACGCATGTGAGGCGGATATCTTGTCGAGTGAGATGCCTTCGGCCATAGAGCAGTAGCCGAGGGCTCTTCCACCCGATGGCTACCCCGAGTGCCGAGGGCTCACAGTGCCGAGGGCTACTGTTTTCGCCGTTTTCTCCCAGTTTCTTAGTTTGCTTGAGAAACCCGTCCTGTGAGAATTTAGAGCCTTCGGCCAGGGGGCCGAAGGCACCCCTGGCGCGTAGTGCGGGCTGCTTGGTACTCTGGGCGCTGTGATTTGGGCCTGTTGGGCCTGCTGGGCCTTCGCTGGAGTAGTAGGAGTCTGTGAGCCGGGGGTTCCCGGGCCATATACTCCATCAGGTATGGTTGAAGTTTGTGCAGAGTAGAGAGACCAGAATAACCACAAATTACTCGCCTTAATAAGAAAGTGACATTTTTTTGTGACAACCAAAAAAGAAAAATTACAAAGTCCAATGAGACGGAGAGTAATTCTTTTATTTGTTATCTAATTTTTATAAAAATGTGTCATATGTCATAACTTTTTATAATCTTACATATCACACTAATATTGTATATAAAAAATGATAAAATTTTGACTGGAGATTTTCGATCTAAATTTTTTTCTTACATAGATTCAAGTACTAAAAAGAACATCTCATAATTAAAATATGTTATTTAAATCTTTCGATTATTTTAAAAAATAGGATTAAAGTAATAAAAAATAAATTAAACTTCAAATTTATTTATTTTTACATCAGAGTGTTTGAAATTTTAAATCATAATTATTCACAAAAAATAGTTATTTTTATAGGTGTTGCCGTTACGTGTGTTTTATGTGAAATAGGTTTTGTATGGAAGTTGTATTTGACTAATGAAAAAATAAGACTTTGTATAATATTAGCAAGAAATTTGTTCAATGTTACTTCGTAAGTTTTTGAAAATAAGGATAATTACTATTAGCTCCTTGAGGGTAGGGATGGACTCAGGTCGGGTCGGGCCCGGGCCGCCAGTTCTGATCACATGGGCTCGGGACCGGCCCGAGGGTTGGACGGGTCCGGTTCGGGCCGGGCCACCCGCCCGGGTCACGGGTCGGGCCACCCGCCAAGCCGGGCCGGGCCGGTTATTTTTTTTTAATTTGTATTTTGTACTTTATAGTTTTATACAAGTATTAAAAAACAAACTTCAAGTGCATTTATTTGAAATGAAATAGGAACTACATTTGAAAATTAAATAGGAACTATAATTGTTTTTAATCGGAATCTCCGGCATAGGTAGAGCCACCTTCGGTTGTAGATTCATCCATAAAGTGTTGGGATGGGGTGATGTCAATTTCTTGAGCTCTACGGGCTGCTTTCAACCAATCGTGTTAGCATATAAGCATCTCAAGAGATTCAGCGCTCAACCTCGTTCTGGTTTGTGTTAGGACATTGCCGGCCGAACTAAATTCTTGTTCCACGGCAACCGTTGAAACCGGCATTGATAGCACTTGCTTAGGCATCTTTGCTAAAACCGGGAACATTCTTTCTTTTCCCTTCCACCTGTTTAGTACGTCAAAATCATCATCTTCTTCAAAATCAACATCATAAGTTAAATACAAAGAAATCTCATTAATTGTGCTTTGTTGTGTAGCGGGAGTTGATTTCGTTTTTTTAATAAGATTGGCAAACGTAGATTTGAAAATTGATTTTCCTTTAGATGATGTTTGTGTCGGGGGAGGGGGCGCATTGCCATATTGTGCATGAAACTCATTGAATAATGCATAAAATATATCACTAACCTCGTTGTATTCTTTTTTTGGATCAATTGGGTTGTCCTCATACATTGACAATGGACCAAAAAATTATTAATTCAACCTTGCATCTTTTTAAATCAATTATTTACTCCTTGAGTTTTGTTTATTCACACTATTTACCCCCGTCAACATTAATCACATTTTACTTTATATATTGTTAAATCTAATGAAAGATTTCTAAAATATATTATTATAAATAACAGGGTATCTAATCTTTAACATCTTTCACTTCCTTTACATTTTTCCATATTATTCTTTCATTATTATGTAACATTATTTTGTCACTATCACTATAATGTTTTCATCTCACCATTGAATTAAATCGTTCCTTTCCTTTGTTTCTTTTTCACTAATTCATAAAATTAAATTATTCAAGATGTATTCCTCATGTACAAAGTATGGGTAGATTACTATCACATTGTACTTTTTATGATAATATCATATACTCCTATCTCTAAATGAACTTCAAGATTTCTTTTTATAGGTTCCAATATACGAAGTATGTTTTTTCTTTCTTTTATGAAAAAGAATATTTGATTCATAACTTTTTTGTTTCATCTATACAACTATAAACAACAAATTTTCTACCATTTAATCGCCTTGACAAACTAAAATGAATTAATTATGGGATGAAGAGAATAAAATTTTTGCCTTTTCATTTTATAAAAATTCTCACTCTGTGCATCGCATGGATGAAAAACTAGTTTATTCAACAAAATACAAAGGTTGTGTTTGGTATGATTTAACGAAAATCCATAAGAGCATTCCTAGTGGTAAATAAATTAGGGGTAAAAAATGTTGTATCTAGAAATGAAAAATTTGACTCCGAGGGATTTTGAGGGAGGAGAAGTGGAAAGTGGGAGAGAGGAGGCATCATTTAGAGCGCAAATTACACCGTATGGCTGGTTGTACCGCGTGCAAGGTACAACCAAGTTTTTTTTGTAATTAAATTCAATTTGGAGCCAGAGAGAAAGCAGAGAGAATAGATTTTGCACTTGCCGTTCGTCGATCCAGAGAAGACGAAGCCTCCATTCATGACAACTGAAGAGATCTTCTGCTCCAGCGAAGGTGGAGCCTCTAGTGATGAAAACAATCTAAGCCTCTGCTCCAACAAATACAAAGCCTTCCATGGACGATGATAACTGAACTCTGCTCCTGCGAAGTCGAAGCCTCCATTGACGGTGACTAATACTTCGACGACGAACACTTCTTCTTTCCAATTCATTTGCTTAATTTGAATCCTTTTAAATTTAAAGAAATCCTTTCCGCCAGCTAAAAAAGAAATTTTTTGATACTGATTTTATACGTTATGTATGCTCATTTATTAATGATAGATGCTCATTTGAAAATGTCATATTAAAGCATATTTCAAAAGTGTCATATTATATTAGACTCGCATACGATTTGATTATAGATACGAGAGCACATATCATTATACTCAATTGCATGATCCGAATACTCAATAGAGGAGGTTTGATGCTCAATAACTAACAAAACTTACGATTTTCATATCAATGCTCATTTGTACGTTACATATGCTCATTTGGTAGTGATGTGCTCATTTTTAAAATGTCATAACAATGTATATTTCAAAAATACCATATTACATTAGATTCACATTGTTGGGATATATCATCCCGACCTGTTACTGGACAGGAGCCCAAGACTTTACATAGTATGGAGCCCAATCAGTAAGGCCCATTTTAGCCTATCAGGCCTGTTTCGGCCTTCGGGCCCATTTCTGCCCTTTCGGCCCACCTAACCCAAAGAGGCCCTTTTCCGCCC